AAAGGGACTGAGGAGCAAACACATTGTTTAAAACACCAAGTCTGGAATGTCCCAGAATTGATAAACCTCTGGCTGGTCTAATATTTTATTACTTTTTTAAGTAAGCTCAACGCCCAACATGGGGCTTGAATTCATGACCCCGAGATTAAGAGTTGCATGCTCTGCTGACTGAGCCAGCCAGGTGCCCCTCCAGCTGGTCTAAGAGAAAGAGAAAAGACAGAGGTTGTCAGCGTCAATGGATATCATTACAGATCCTACAGATGTTAAAGGGATAATAAGAGAATGTTATAAGCGGTTTTATGCCAATACATTCAGTAACTTAGGTGAAATGGATACTCCTTGAAAGATACGGATTAATGAGACTGACTCAGGACAAAATAGAGAACCTATAGAGCCCCATATCTAAAATCTCACAAAGAAAACTTTGGGCCAAGATGGCTTCACTGAAGTCTTACCATAGATTTAAGGAAGAAGTAATACCAATCTTGCACAACCCTTACTTTATTTGCAAAAATTTGGTTTCTGGCAAAAGGATTTCAAACAGTATCAAACAGCTCAGTTGGTCTCTGTTTTGGGCAGGGCTGTTCTGAGGCCCCTTAAGTCTTGCATCAGAGACCCCTTCCCCCTGCAGGCTGTGGGAGGCATTTCCAGGAAGAGGCAAGAGGACCCTGGTCCAGGACGTGGCTTTCCTGCCCTCCGCCACCACTGTTTCCAAGAGTTTGGCTCTTCTGGAGTTGGTGGAGAGAGTAGTTAAATTGGCAAACAGTTGGTGAAGGTTGTCCAGTCCACGCCAGGAGGGGTTCCAGGAGATGCCCCCATACTTGAGGAAGACATGAAGAACTTGAGGGAGGCCTGGATATGAACAGGAATGACCACATGCCTGGGCCCAGAGGAGTGATTTGCCTATTGTCTGGGAACCTCAGAAGGCTGTGTGGAGGAGGTGGCCTTTGAGCTGACCTCCAGAATTGGTCAGAGAGTGGGTTTTCTTCGGGGTTATGAGAATGGGCATATCAGGATTTGAGAGACAGAGGCTACGGTGTCAAGGTATTCTGGACAGGGGCGAGTGTGAATGGGCTGTAGGGCAGGTGTTGGGGCCTCATGAGGCTGCCCCTTGAGGAGAATGGCTGTTGTCCTGAGCCTCTGGGGAGCCAGCGAGAGCTTTGAGCAGAGGAGCGGTGTGATATGACCAGCACCTGGGATGCGGATGGTAAAGTGGAGGGAGGCTTAGGGGAGGTGGAAGAGGAAAAGGAGGCAAGTGCAGCAGGAAGCTGTGTTCTCCGGGGCAGAGGGGCAGCCAACTGGCAGGCTGGCAGGCAAGCACGGCGAGGGGGGGAAGAGCTGGGGGCTGGGTTGCGGTGGGCACCTGTGGCGGTGGCGAGGGAGAGGGCAAGGACCGGAGAACAGGGACTGGGAAGGAGGGAGAAAGGTGGGAAATTTGGGGAAGGGTGTGTGGGGGGGGAGGGGTTAAAGCAGTGAGTCAGATTTAACTATCTCGGGGCGGGTGGGGTGTCTCCAGATTGCCGGGGATGCTGTGCCCCTCAGGCCCTGCCTGCCCTCCGAGGGTGTGCGCCAGGGCCTGTACCTGGACTCGGGCTGGCTGCAGCCGGTCAGAACCAGGGCTGAACCGTGGGGGAGCCGGGGAGAGGTGGCTGGGGTCAGAGCTGTTTTTAGAAACTGAGTGCCACTCTTCATACACTCTCTCATCTCTCTCCTTGGTGAGAACACTGGGCAGGGGTCGGAAAGACCTTGATCCACATCTGCAGTCACCATGGATGAGCTCTGTGGCCTTGGGCAAATCTTTTCCCTTTGCCTGATGGCCGTTTGCCAGGCTCCCTGTGGGTTCAACTGAGGACCTTCCATTCTGGGGGCCCTTTGAGGCCCTTAGGCTGGGGTGGGCCATGAGGGTGGTCTCCACCTCCTGTCGCCATCCCACGTAATGAGTATCCTGCCTTGGGACCGAGGCCAGGATCACCCAGAAGCTGTTTCCCTGCTCACGAATGCTCACTGTCCTGTCTGAGTTGCTGTTGAGCGTGAAGCCTGGAGCGCACCTTGTCCTTGCGTTTCTGTGGCCTGTGTATGTGTTACCCGCCTTCTGCCCCACACGCATCTCTTCATCGTTCCTGAGCACCTGCTCTTCACACAGCAGCCCAGGCCGGTATCATCCTTAACCTCACGCTGTGGGCAGTTAATGGTGCGGCCCACCCACCAGACTGCTGGGCATTTTTGTAAAATGTCACAGAGATAGTTGCGTGTTTTCTCATTTATTAATGAATAACCAGCCTGTGCCAAGGCACTCGAGTGTCTCTGGGACTCCAGGGTGGCGGTGGTGGCGGTGGCTGCCGAGAAGGGGCTCGGTGTTTGCAAGGGACTGGTTCCCAGAGGCCGGTCCTGTCGTCCGCACCCTCCTCTGCCAGCAGGTCCAGGTTAACAGAGCCCTGTGGAAAGATGCCTTCCTGGGGGGTTTGCCCACCAGCTCACGTTGGGGGTTGGGGAGAGCTGAGCCTTTCTCTGCCCTTCCACCTCTGTCCTTACTTACCAAGGGGAGGCAGGCCATCTGGGAGCCTGCTGACGGGCAGTTGGGAAGGAGCTTTTTTTTTTTTTTTTTTTTTGACTGTTCAGGCTCATGGCTTGCTTAATCCACTGGCATTTCGTCAGGGAAAGGGGAGCGTGTGTCCGTTGGGCCTCCGTGGAAGGTCCTACCCAGGCTCCCGCCGCCCTGGAGGCCACACCGAGAACCCTAGCTTGTTTCTCATTTAGGAATTTGTACTCTGTCCTCCCTTCCCTTTTTGGCCATCACCAGGCGAAAGCCTCTCTGCCCTAGGGCTTGCTTGTCCAGCGAGGTGGCCAGGCCCTTAGGAAAGGTCCTTCTGCCAACAGGTCCCCCAGCCTTTCCTCTGGCTCCTCTTGCCTTACTTAGGACCCTGGGCAGCGCCCTCTGAGACCAGCCCCACCTGCCTTGACAACTTGACCAGCATTCACCTTCACCAGGTCTGCTACTCCAACCACCTGGGTGTTCTGCAGACCACACCCACCTTTGCTCAAGCTGCGCCCCCCCCTCCAGGAAGGCCTTTCCTACTCCTGTAACCCCTGCATTCTCTCCATCCCTCCCCACCCCACCCCACAGAACCATGTTGACCTCTCTCACGTGGCTGCCATCACTTGTTCCTGCTGCCTCGTCCCTGGGACTAGGCTGCTCTGGACTGAAAGAGCAAGGGCTTACCTTGATCCGCTCACGTCATAAAAGCATTTCGCTGGACCAAACGCCTCTGTGCTGGTTTTGGGGGGGTGGTCTCCTTCCCTGTAAGTGTGAGGCCAAGAAATGGTGGGGTCTGGTTGTTCTCAGGTGTCCGTGATGATCACTGTTAGGAAGGGATTCATAAAGCAAATGCCACTCTCCAGAGGCAGCTGTCAGTGGTATAAACAAACTTGGAGGAGAGTTAGCGCACAGAGCTGTCTTCCTTAAAATTTATATGTCAGCTCTGGCTCTTTCCTTTTGTAAACTTTTTATTTAAATTCAATTTAGGTAACATATACTGTGTTATTAGTTGCAGGGGTAGAATTCAGTGGTTCATCAGTTGCACATAACCCCCGGTGCTCATTCCATCACGTGCCCTCCTTCATGCCTGTCACCCGATGACCCCATCCCCCCACCCCACTCCCCTCCAGCAACCCTCAGTTTGTTTCCTAGAGTTAAGAGTCTCTTACGGTTTGTCTCCCTCTCTGATTTCATCTTATTTTATTTCTTCTTTCCCTTCCCCTACGTTCATCTGTTTTGTTTCTTAAATTCCACATAGGAGTGAAATCATATGGTATTTGTCTTTCTCTGACTGACTTATTTCTCTTAGCATAATACCCTCTAGTTCCATCCATGTTGTTGGAAATGGCAAGATTTTTTTTTTTTTTTAGTTTTTTTCTTCTTTTTTTTTTTTTGTAATCTCTACCCCCAACATGGGGCTCGAACTCACCACCCTGAGATCAAGAGTCGTATGCTCCTCCAACCGAGCCTGCCAGGCACCCCTGTAGCTCTTTCTTACGTTGTAGCAGCCTCCCCATGGCAGCGCCTTACTGATGTCTCAGAACGCTGCTCCAGCCCGATGGTGAGAGGCACGTTGCAGCCAGTAAGGAAGGGCACAGTGACACCCTTGGAGGGCCGGTCCCGGCAGGCTCGGAGACCCTGGAGTGCCTCAGCACGTGCGTCGAGAACACGGTCATGCATGTGAGCACATACATGGGCACACACCCTGCATGTCTGTCTGTCCCCAGGGCCAGTCCGATCTTAGAATCAGGGAGAGAGGCCAGGAAGACACTTGCTTCTGCAGCTGGAAGCAGCATGGTGGTATCCTCTGTTGCGGCCCCTGGTGTCCCTGGGGAATGAGTATGTTGTGCCAGGTTTGAGACTTACAAAGAGATGGGGGGCAGGAGGAAGACAAAGCAGATTTAGAAGTTTTTCCCATAGAAACTTCGAACTAGTTCGCCTTCTCTCCATCCCCTGAATACATGGCAGGAGTCTTATTCTCAGCTTGGTTCTAGTTTGAGTTATTGCTACTCCTTAAGGTAAGCAAGTAGGTATTCCTAGAGAGGCCTCTGGCCTGGAAGTGGGGGTCAGGAGGCCCGAGCTTTTGCCCCACCCTGGTCGCTGGTGACTGCCCTTCCCAGCTGAGTGGGTGGCTCCATCCAGACCCATTGAGGGGTCACCGACCACCTGCATTTCTCACCACTCAAACCTAGCTCCTCCTGCTAGTGTTCTCTGGGGGTCACCGTGGGCCTGGCCCGGGCTGGGGTCACCGGCTGTTAGGTTTTGTGGGCGTCGTGGGGGGGGAGTTGAAGGAGGGGCAGTGAGGCTCCAGTGTTGTGTACCCCTTGGAGGCTGCAACACCAAGCTGCTCCTTGCCAGGGTGAGAGGCTCCTGAGGTGTCCCGTTCTTCCCCAGCTCCCTGGGCATCAAGGACTGGAAGTAGGAGCATCCGTCTGAGCGAGTGGTTTTCTCCCTTCCTTTGCAGGACAAGGAAGATGGGGAGCCCAAGACCAAGCAGCTCAGAGAAGGGGAGGAGGAAGGCGAGAAGCACAGGTGAGGCCCGTGTGCAGCTCTCTGTCATCCCACCTCGATGTTGACACTCTCTACCCCGTGCCTCCCCCACCGCCCCATGGCTGCCTTGTGCAGGCATGAAAAGCTCACCCTTCTCCCCAGCCGGAGCCTTCTTTGCTCCCTTTCCCCCACTGGCCAGCCACCTTTTACTCAGCCACCCGCAGTTTCTTCCCGACCCTCATGAAGGCTTATCTCCAAACCACTTGCGTGGTGTGGGTCCACAGCACCTGCAAAATCAGGTCCAAACCGTGCCTGGCGTGTTCACTCTGCCTGAGCCACCTGGTCTCGTCCAGCCCCTTCCGGTTCCCCGTAAGCCCTCTGACCCTTTGGAGTCTCCTGATGGCATCCTCTGTGTGTGCTCCTCCCTCGGGCTGGATTCCTTGTCCTCTCCTCTCCGCCTTCCATAGCTCGGTCTTCGTGTGGAGCTCAGCTCTGAGCCTCCGCTGCTTCCTCCCTGTCTGTGCTCCCCGGCCCCCTCAGGAGGCCGTGGAGAGTGTTTCTCTTTGCCAGATCCTGTCATCTGGTCGAGTCCACTTCAGTTGCCTGAACACGGTGCTCTTCCCTGTGATTGCGGGCACACAGTCTCCCCTCGCCCCTTCTTGAGGGCTGGCACCTCCACACAGCTTGGGTGCTGCTTTGCATCAAAAATAGCTGGGAAACATTTGCAAATCCGAAGTGTGGGGTGGGCAGGCGCTGTGTGGATGGTCTTTGTGAGCTGGGGAGAACCTTCCTGTTCGCCCAGCACTTCCACACCAGAGTTCCGGGGTCTTGTGCCCTCCCTCCCACGCCCAGTCTTGAACTCGGGCCACAAGGGCCGTGGGGGAACTGTACTTGGGATCAGACTTGGTTTCTGAATGGACAGGTCACCTTGATGTCCTCCGTTCTGAGCAGTTTCCTTCAGGCTCAGGGCTTGAAGGTGTCTGCTCACATGGGGTTGTGGATCTGGATGTCCGAAGTAAACTTCCCTGGACGGGCTGTGCTTTGAGGGGTACAGCAGGAGGTGGAGGACCCTCCCCGGAGGAGGAAGCAGGACTTCCTGATGCCACTTAACTTTTCCAGTATGCGTGGAACCTCCCCGGGTGCCGGCCCCTCATCGGGAGCTGATCTCACAGGAGATAGGGCTTTTTCAAGTCCACAGGGTTGTGTGTGTGTGCTTGTGTGTGTTCGCCTGCATGACAGTTTACAGAGTGGGTTCACACTGTCCCCACAGGCAGCCCTGTAGGGTCCTTGCCACCTCACCTATTACCAGAAATGGGAACAGCTCTGTGCTCAGTGGTGGTGCTGGGACCCCCGCCACCCTAGTGCTGGGCTCTCTGCTTTCTTGTTGGGTCTGGCCCCCTCCACCAGCCCCTCAGGGGGCCCTCACCGATGACAGAGATGAAGGCCAGGTCCTTGCTCTTTTGCCAAGCAACCCCACTTGTGTGGTTTGGGGGTGCATGCCTGCACAGTTTCCCCTGTTCTGTGGGACCTGCTGGGGGGACCTTCGATTTTCTTCTGGCTTGTTCTTACTTAGATTCTCGGTCAATCGCTGGCTAGAGCCTTGAGTCCTGGTTTCTGGGCTGTCTTCGCTTTGCTGGGAGGTCCCTGCTCTCATCCCCCTCCTCCTTGATGAGAAAGAGAAGGAGCATTGGTGAGCAGATGGGTGGGTCATACGGTAGAACACTTGATTGTTGAGCCATGGGATTGAATCTCAAACGCGGTGTCAGTGGAGGAAAGAGCAGGCTTCGGAAGTGAGAACACACAGGGCAGGAACGTTTATATATATATTTCAGAAACCCACATGATGATAGAGGTGTTATTCGCTCCACAAGCCCTGGCTCAGTTGGTTGTCTGATTTGGCTTGGAAGGCGGCAGAGGACAAAACACAGTCCCTGCCCTCATGGGGCCGACGCTCTCTGGAGGCCGACAGACTGGACAGAAAAACAAGTGTGTGGGAAGAGGGCATTGAAGTGGAAGCTACAGACATGGGACCATGCTCTCCGCCGTATACCCACTCCTGCCCTCAGATTAGCTGCTGGGAATCGGGGAGGAAACAGGATTAGGGAAAGGCTGTGACCAGCCACAACATAGGATTTCTATAACAAAAACGGGGGAGTGGGGAGGAGCAAACCTGTCTCAAAAACGGCAGAGTGTTGCTTTTGTTGACTTTGGAGGAAGTGAGCACAAGTGTTGTGTTATTCTCTGAATGTTTCTTTGTGCCTGAGAGATTTCATCACGAAAACAGTGTGAAAAAGAAAGAGGTGCAGGGCCCCAGGTTCCTCTGCCGGAGCTCTGGGTAAAAAAGCCCCCGTTCACCTTCTAGGCCTTAACGAGTCATTTGTGGCGAAGCCCGAGACCCCCTCTGAAATCCCCTGCCAAGCCCGCCCATCTGGACCCGTGGGGGCGGGTGGGGGGGGTTGGAGGGCCTGCTCACAGCAGCCCAGGGACCAAACCCGTGGGGCACTGGATGGAGTTCTGCTTCAGCTCCTCCTGTTCTTCCACTTTTCTGACCCCGCCTCGGTTAAGGCTGGGTGTGTGGGGGCCGGGTCTGGCCTGGGAATCAGGAGCTTCGCTTGCGTGGCCGTCCCTCTGCTGCTCAGTCACTGCCTCGGTTGTCAGGAAAGCCCGCCTTAGCCGGGCGTGGAGTTGTGCAGGAATTTGTAGCGCCCCAGGAAAAGGGGGCTCTTACCTTGAACAGGCTTAGAGTGAAGGTGCTGCCTGGATTATTCGGGAAGGCAGGGCAGAGCCTCAGTCCCTGTACCAAGTGGCCAGACCCTTGTGGGTTTAACCCCAGACTGCAGGGTCTAGGGCTGGGGTGTGGGCTTTCCAGGAAGAGCCTGAGGCAGCTGACTCTGTGTCTGTCATAGCAGAGAGGGGGCCTTTCTCCTCATCGGTTCTCCAGGTCTGGAAAGGGACTCCCAGCAGGATGTTTATGGCTTGGGAGCAGGCTCCATGGAGCCCCTAGGCCACAGCCCCTGCCATGGCCCCCTTTGCCGATGGGGGGAAAGGGGCAGCCTTCCAGCTCCACTGAGTTGGGGGGCAGGCAGGGATGACCTCTGAGGCCATTTACCAGTGAGCATCTTCACTTCCTTGGCTCCTGGGAGGTAAGAACAGTCTGCTTCGGTCCAGGTCAGCCCACACTGAGCCCAGGTGCCAGGTGGGCACCCCTGTGGGCACCAGCCCTTCTGAGGTGTCCTGAGAGGAATGCAGGGCCCACTCCAGGCTGCCTTCAGCCAGGGGCAACAGGACAAGGCCTCATGGAGAACCTTCCTTTTGAGTTGGGTCTGGAATCTTAGTGGGTAGGATTTGGGCAGAGAAGGCCCAGAGGTGTGAACCAGCAGGGTGAAAGGGAGAGTGGGGTAACCGCTTATTGGGGAGGCATGCACAGACACCCTCTGACCCATGGCTTGGAAAGCCCAGCGTGGGCTTTGTACGGGTCACTGGAGCAGGGAGGGAGATTCAATGTGGCCCCGTCCGCACTGCACAAGCTTGTGGGGCAGCCCAGCCCATGTCTTCGGTTGGTGATGAACTTCCCAGAAGTTCCTCAGGCACTTTTGTTTACACCAACAGGACTGAGCAAAATAAAAGTTGAGACAGTTCTTTGTGCAACAGTGGGCCCCAAAATTGTAGAAACCAGGCAGATGGAGAAAGCTCGGGACTTGGAAGCAGCTCTGGGTGTGAGGCCAGGCCTGCCTGTTATTAGCCTTCTGGCCCTGACAAGTTACTGCCTCAGTGAGCCTCACCCGAGTATCTTCGACTAAAGAGGGGGAGAAAGATAGCAGCTTGCTTCCCTGATGAGTACAGCAAATACGTCACTTTTTATCTGGCAAATGCTGGGCTCTGGGCAGAAAGAAGACACTTTTAGGCCCTCCTGAGAGAGTTGAAGGACTCCAGACACATGTGGAGAAGGCAGAACTCTCACACAGGCTGTGCTCACTTTGCAAATTGGGGAAACAGCAAGGTCGGTGGATGAGAGAAGAAGTAAAAGTACCTGTGGCCAAGAAATGAATCATTAGGATCGTTTGTGGGACCTCCCCTCCTTGATAGAGTTCATCCTCAGCAAAGTCATTGAGGAGCATCGTTTTGCAGATGCAGTGTGGGGCCAGGGCAGGTGGCTGAGGAGACGGGAAAACCCAGCAGGATCGGAGGCAGGCACCCTGGGACCTCGCCCCTCACCAGCCATGCTGGAGAATCCCCATCTTCCTCTCTTCCCATGCTGCTGCCCATTTGCCTTAAGGACACTTCTCAGAATCTTAGCCTGTTCCAGTTCCTTTGCCTTTCCTTATAAACTCTAGAATCGGCTTGTTAGTATCTATAAAAAAGCTTGCTAGGATTTTGATTGGAATTGCATGGAATCTGTAGATCCACATTCCTTCTTAAAATTTGTATGACTCTCTCCAGGATAAATCCTGCCCTGTCCCCATACAACCAAATCCCCACTGGGGTGAGGAGTCAGTGTCCCTTGAAGGTGGACCAGCCCAAGCCAGACCCTGTGGGAAGGAAAGACATGTTTGCCTTCCCAGAGGGGCCCGGCTTGTCATCTGGGCTGGATCTGCCCTCTTCCAGCCACCCCTCCCTATAGCTAACTTTGAGGGGCGTCGGAGACTTCTCTCTAACACAGCCCCCGCTTACGGCCTTGGTAAGATATAGCCCAGCAGCCATGGAAAGGTGGCCCACAGAGAGGGGCATTTCTGTTGGCTGCTTTTGTGTTTTTTTAAGGCCTCAGTCGCTTCCTCTTGATGGCAAGTCAGCTGATACATGTGCCACGGAGGGGTGTCTGGGGCGGGTTTGTGGCTGACAGTCACGGCCACCCTGGCAGGAGGGAGGAGAGGGGAGGTGCTGCACACCCTAGTGGGCAGGGGGCAGGGGAGCGTGTCTTGTTAAGTGCTTGAACAAGCAAGCCTCAAGCCCTCAGCCCCCACAACCACCACCTCCCTCCGCTCTGGATCAAGGTGTGCACCCAGCTGGGGCAGTCACCACGCAGGGACAGTGGCTTACTCTGG